CCTTCCTTCTTTCCTATTTCTTTCTTTTAGAATGAGCATGCCTATCCCATGCCTATTTCACCATTTCTATTTTGGAAGGACATAACTTGTTTGACTTATAGGTTCACAGCTGGAAAGAAATTTTGTCCAAGGCTCTCTCAACCATATCTGATGTAAATGGTATTTAGATAATACTTTAGACTTCAGAATTCATGTTGGGATGAGTTAAGACTTTTGGAATTTTTAGGTGAAATGGATGTATTTTGCTTGTGAGAAGGCCATTAATTTGGGGGTGTTCAGGGGCAGACTGCAATGCACTGAATGTGTGCTCCCCACTGCTTATAGGAGGTAGTGGATCCCTCATGAATGAGATTATAAAAGGGACCCCAGAGAGTTTTCTTCTTTTTTTCTTCCATATGATGAAACAATGAGAAGACTCCCATCTATGAACCAAGAAGCAGGCCCTCATCAGACACTGAACCTATTAGCACCTTGATCTTGGACTCTACAGCCTCCAGAAGTGTGAGAAATGTTTGTTGTTTAAGCCACCTAGTCTATGGTATTTTTGTTATAGCAGCCTGAACTAAGACATCACTGTTGTAGGGCAGCTAAGGGTACTTTCCCTACCTCCTGAATGCCTTTCAGCATAATCCACAAGTCAGATATGTACATTGATTTTTTTGTCTATTAGTTAAATGAAATCTTATTAACTCCAAAGCACTTTCCAAATGTGGGGATTTAGCAATATCAAGTGTTTGCAAGGTACTTAAAAGTTTCAGGTGAAATATTCCACAAAGCACAAAGTCTGCTACAGACATAATTCTGTAAAGGAGTCTTTTTGGGGATGGCTTATATGATAAAAGGTTGAGTTTAGATAAAATGAAGTCAGTGGTTTGTGCTATAATGTGAACTCAACTGCTCAGTTCTATCAACGTTTGGGGAATTACTGAAGGGTTATGGCCTCCCAGGTTGGCCATTGTAGGGTGACCATATTGTCCAAATTGAGCCACTTTGCACAGTGAAAGGGGAGCTATTAATACTTATGCTGGGACAAGTGTAAACTGGGCTCGTCCTGAGCAAACCACTAGCCATGGACACACTATGCATGAGCTACTCATTTAGCCACTTTGAATTTATTTGTTGATCTATACAATTCAGTTGTCTACCTTAGTATTCCTGCCCCATAATCACAAAGGGTGGAAATTAAAGGAAAGATAGAAGATAATTAGGCAGAATTGAAGATATCCTTCTGAGAACTAGATTAAAAATTAAAAGAACTAAGATATTAATTTTGCCAGAATCAACTTGTGACTTTGGGCAAGGCAACGGGCCCTCTCTGAGGCTCAATTTTCTCATCTGCTTAATGAAAGCTTTTCAAGTTGAAAGGAATTTTGAAGTTCATCTAGTTTGCCCACTTGAAAAAATCAGTTTTCTGTACAACATCTGACAAGCAGTTGTTCAATTTGCTTGTTTGTATTACTTCCAATGACAGGGAGTTCTCTACCTCAAGAGGCAGCTGATGCCATTCCTGCAGCTTAAAGTGAATGTTAGAAAGTTATTTCTTCAACTAGGCCAAAGTTTCAGAAAAAAATTTCCAAGATTTAGAGCTTTAGGAATACTAGATGGACTTTTTTGCAAGGAACTTAGTTCCCTACCTTTGAAAGAGTTCAAATAAAAGCCACATGACTTACATCTCCAGATGCTCTAGAATGTAGTATCTGGAGTCCAGATAACTTTTAAGGTCTATTTCTGTTTCCATAGTCTATGATTCCATGAAAATTCATTAGGAAGAGCTAAGCATTTAATCTAGTTTTCTAAGCAGCTTCTTATTTCTAATTTTCTCCTTTCTATTCTTTTTTTTTTTTTTTTTTTGAGAGGGAGTTTCGCTCTTGTTGCCCAGGCTAGAGTGCAATGGCGCGATCTCGGCTCACCGCAACCTCCGCCTCCTGGGTTCAGGCAATTCTCCTGCCTCAGCCTCCTGAGTAGCTGGGATTACAGGCACGCGCCACCATGCCCAGCTAATTTTTTTTGTATTTTTAGTAGAGACGGGGTTTCACCATGTTGACCAGGATGGTCTCGATCTCTCGACCTCGTGATCCGCCCGCCTCGGCCTCCCAAAGTGCTGGGATTACAGGCTTGAGCCACCGCGCCCGGCGCTCTATTCTTTCTCTAAATCTCCCAGGCTCACACCTTTCACCTGTCTATGACTTTCCTATTTCATTTGCCTGTTTCTTATATTTAGCTTCTCCTTCACCCCTAACTCAGTATCCACATTTATTTTCTCTTTCTAGCCCCATTCTGGGGCTTAACATTGTCTTGCCATAATTAATCTATAGCCTCTTCTCTGAACTTCTGGCCTCTAGTTTTTCCCTTGTCTAATCCATCCTGTATTTCTAAAGTATCCCTCTTATCAATTCTCTTCCCTTTTGAATCCATCCTTAAGCTGAACTTTGAACACACTGCTAATCTTCCCCACTCTATCTTGGCATTGAAAAAGCTCCAAAGTCAGACCCAATCTACCTCTCAAAACATACGTCTTGGACTCACTTTCCTAAACTGTTCTGGTGAAATGGAGTCTCCCTTTCACCGTATTCCAAGAAGGTTCTGTTTTCCTGTTATTCAGCTTTTGCTTATGCCAGTTCCATCGCTCAGAACCTCCCACTGCCCCTAATTCCCTGCCACCAATAAAATACAATCTATCTTTCAGGGTCAGTCTCAAATCTCTCCTCTGTTAAGTCTTCCCAGAGGACTCCAGCCCATACTTATCTCTTCCTCCTCTGAACTCCCATACCACTTTATTGTCTGTTTCATTCATCTGGCAATCAATCATATATTGCCTTGCAACATCTCTGAAAACTGGCATTTATCTTGGGTAATGTTATTTAACTGTTTCTTTTGTGTATATAGGTTCTCCCCATTACCTACAAAGCTCATTGAGGCTGGGAGTAAGTATTGCATCTTTTTTTTCCTACTCTTTGTGAAACAGAACTGGGCACCTAGTAGGGGGCAGCTTATTAATGTGTACTGACTAGTTTCCCATAGATTATCCAATTACTTTGTCATCACTTTAATAGACTACTAAATCCATGATTAATATTCCCTCACCCTATTTGTCAGGCACTGGTGGTGACAGAGGATAGAAAGGACCATTAGCGATAAGGTACATATGGGAGAAGGCATATTTGACTATTTAAGCCTCAAGTAAGATGAATTGCTAAGATGCTGGTGGTGAGACATTTCACTATCAGCTAAAAGTGTTCCTTAATAGATTTAGGTCCCTGGAGAAGTTCCACAGAGGTTGTGATTACAACCTGATACAACTCTTCCAAGAGAAGAAACAGGGAGATTTTTTTCCTTTCTAGTTTGTGCTGGGTAATCAATACCTAGGTGTTTAATTCAATGAATTCAGGAATGGTGCACCAATTCTCTGGTAGTCATCAGAATTTCTCTAGCAGTTTTTACGTTGCTAGAGCAATAATTAAAATTCAAAATATCCTATGTGACCTTTTATGCCAAAACGTAAATGTTCTATGATTCATGAGAAACACTCCAGTTTGAATAGAGGTAAGTCACAGAAAGGAAAGATATTGGTCCACAGGGATGAAAAATAGGAAAGGAGCATGGAATTCATAACTTTTTATGACTGCCTCTAATGCTGTACCATAGTGGCCTCATTGGTGGGGGCAGGGGGAAAAGAGGGGATGTGTTTCTCCATTAGGAAAGGAAGAAGAAAATGACAGGTAAAACAATTAATCTCTGTTCTATGGAAAAGTAAAAAGGAAGAAGGAAATAACAAAGAGGTAAAATTCTGAGTGCTAAAGCATATAAAGATCACCATCAGATGCTGAGCAAAGGATCTCTCAATATAAGCATATATGATGTGGAACTTGGACAGGCCATATTGATATTTGGAGAGGCCTCAAGTCAGCCATCTTGTCATGTTCTCCATAATTGCTATAGGGAGCAGAATGTATAGTTATGAGATAAAGTGGTCAAAAGCCTGAGAAGTCCTCGGGGAGTAGGGATGGATGGTTCTTCTCTATGGCATTAGCTTTATTTCTAAACCTCATTATCACCAAGCCACTTCACACACTGCTCCATCCCAATTGCCTAGAACAATCTTCTACCCATTGCTAGTTATTTAAGACATCAGGTTATTTTAAAGACTGGATTCACCTTCCTCTTTATCTCTAAGACCTTTACAGCAGAACTTTACTTCAGAATGAGTACGTATCATTCTCTGTTCAAACCCTGGTTCCAAGATTTCCTGCAGATTCCTGTTTATTCATTAAAAAGATATTTATTGTGCCTTTACTATGTGCCAGAGACTGCTCTAAGTAAATAAATGACACAGATCTCTCTCCTCTTGGAACTTACATAACTTCTAACTATGGTAGATCTATAGAAGAGCAGTCAGAGTGTATCTTCTGGAGTTTGATTGCCCCAGTTACTTTAGGGAGCAGTGGCCAGAGATTTGGTACTGTCAGGTAAAAAAGAACCCTGCTAAGCTTTGGAGAGGACTACTTCTTGCTCTTCCTTCTGCATTACTTTTGTAGTAGACAGAAAACGGAAAGGCAAATAGTATAGTGGTCAAGTGCTTGAATCCTGGTTTCCCTGCTGAATAGTGACTCCGCCTCTTTCTGAGGCTCAGTTTCATTAGCTGTTACTATGGTCATTCAGCAGATCCAAGTTAAGACTGCTGATTGTGGTTTTCATAACCTAAGGGCATCTACATTAGCTGCTCACCTACATCTTGAGTACCTCATCCATTGAGGATAGATTGACATCTACATATCAAGTGGGTATGTATAGAGGCGTCTGCACTACATACTTACAAAGGTCTGAGTCCAAGTTAATTACTACTATTTATGAATAATTCTAAAGAGGTTTTCTGTCTATAATTCCTAACCAGGTGGTCTCTGTTTCCATCTTATTATTTCCCTGCTGTAAAGGTGGCTTAACTAATGCAATTAATTATTTACCTATTAAGAATTGTGTGGCTTCTTTACTAGTTTCCTTACCTTATGAATTTCTCCCTGTTGGACAGTTTTTATGACGTTAATCCATTCTTCCATGTCTTTCCGGTTGGATGCAGCCACAGTGATTTTTCGTTGTGGTGTGATAACCTAAACAAAAAGACACAATATTAGCTCTTCTCACTCCATAACTTTGCCTCTGAACAGAGTCTGTGAATGCTCTAAGAAACTAGACAGATGTACCAAGCACAATGCAAGCCATTTCTTGAATATAAAACAGACATTGCCAAAGCCACTCGTAGCTCCTTAGATACCCATCCAAAATAGTAATAGTGCTAATAGCAATAACTAACATTTCAATGCCACTTGCTATGTGCCAGGAACTATTCTAAAGCACATTATGTGTATTATTTCATTCAATCTTTATTACAACCCTGTGAGATGGGCATTATTATTTTTTCCCATTTCATAGACCAGAAAACCAAGGCAAAGAGAGTTCAATGATTTGCCTAGGGTCACCCAGCAGGTAAGAAACTAAACTAGAATTGAAATCCAGATTCTTTAGCTTCAGAATTCATTCTGTTAAATACTAAACCATGTACCATCTATTACTCAAGTTAGTTTGCCTGAAAACCCTACTTGCTTACTGTGACTGTCTACTTGAAGTGGTAAAATTGTTTATGGTTCATTAGGGAGTCCCTGTTTAGTGGGAGAGTGAAATATCTAAACATCCAGTTTCTTTCTTTCTTATGGTTAGGGACAATCTGAAGAGAATTTTACAGTTGTCTTTCTTAATTCTGCTTGGCACAAGAACCCAGGTAGGAATAATAAGAATGCCACAGTGAGAGTCTAGCAGACATAGACCATGGGCAGGACTTGATCTTTTTCCAGAGGGCAGGAGGGATCATGGATAGCTACAGCATCAGTCATTGCTTCCATTGCCCTAATTGCCTTTACTACAAGCCCCCCAAGTCTTGAAGCTAGAGCTCACCACACCAACAAGGAATTTGTTTCTCCTTTTGCATGTAGCACAGTGTGATTATGTAGTAGATGGAACTAGGAGCTATTCGGGATTGTGATAACAGCCACTCCTTTGGTCCAAACCCATTCTTTTTTTTTTTTTTTTTTTTTGAGACACAGTTTCACTCTTGTTACCCAGGCTGGAGTGCAATGGCATGGTCTCGGCTCACCGCAACCTCCGCCTCCTGGGTTCAAGCAATTCTCCTGCCTCAGCCTCCTGAGTAGCTGGGATTACAGGCAAGCGCCACCATGCCCAGCTAATTTTTTGTATTTTTAGTAGAGACGGGGTTTCGCCATCTTGACCAGGATGGTCTCGATCTCTCGACCTCGTGATCCACCCGCCTCGGCCTCCCAAAGTGCTGGGATTACAGGCTTGAGCCACCGCGCCCAGCCCAAACCCATTCTTGAGTGGGGCTGATGTTCAGTACTTCTGTGCTTTAATTGGGTTAAGGGGCAGCCTAGCCCTTAGATTTCTTTCTCTGTAGAATGCAGACCAAAAACATTAGCCTATAGGCTCATCACCCAAAGGCTCAGCTTTTTGGGACTGGTCAACGGAACCCTCAGCTTTACCCTGTGTCAGGGTGATGTAATGAGAGAATAACAAGAGCAAAGTCTTTTTCTTAGATCTAGCCACTCTCCTTTCACAAGAAGATGGAACATGAACCCACCATAGAAGCAGGACATTGGGTCTGCAGCTCTTTAGTCTGTTAGGTACTATCCCCTACCTGCCTAAACAGGAGCTCCGGGCTCCATAACTCACCATTGAGGCTGGGAGAAGACAGTTCTTGGAAGAGTTAGGTAGAAGAATTCCTGGGCCACGAAGCTTTCTATTTTTCACTGAGTTTTTTGGTCTGGATTCAGTTGAATGACCAAAGCCATGTGACATTTCAGCCACACTAAGCCCTCAGATACTTCCCTAGAAAATCCTCTGCTCTCTCTGAGGCACTTTTATTAGTGATCTCAACATGGGGTAGATTTCACTTTGGATTAGGGCTCTTATCTACCTCATCAGAGGAGAGGACGTCATGTAACTCAATTATCCTGCCATTTTCTATAACATATTAGCAGTCTCTTGAAAGACTCCCAATGATACGCTTCTAAATCACCTTCACTAGGAAGACTAATTTTTATAAGTCACATACTCCCTTCTCCTTTAAGTCAGCTTAGCTTTATACTGGTAATAAGGAACAAGATCATCACTTTTTTTCTTCACTATCAGTGGGCTGCTAGAAAATGTTTGCATGAATGATAACAATTTGAGATCAAAGGAAACTTTGGAAACCTGAAGTTCAAAGAAGCAAAAAGTGGTTATGGGAAGCTATCTTCCCAGCTAGCCCATACCCCTGCCCTTTCAGTCATTCCCAATCATACTTACGCAAAAACTGTGGCAAAGGTTTCTACAGCTGCTTTCTGCCACGACAGCTTCAGACAGATCAATCGTGTCAAAGTGTGCAAACTGGAAAGATATAAGAGGGAGAGGGACAAGAAACCATCTGGTTAATTATGTAAAGAGATATTAAAAGGTAAACATACATACACACACACACTGACAGGCATTTGTGGCAGTCATGATCCAATCATTTCTTTGACTTGAGGGCTAAAATTTATTTAGCAACACGATTTTTGTTAATACATCATGTGACAAAAACAAATAAAATGAAATCAAAATAGAATTTTATAGACATTTATGTGGAATTATAGGGAGGCTTGAGTTGGTGAGTTCAGAATTATTTAAACATAAAGGCTTATGCTGGAAAAGATAATGGGATGTGGTTTAACTAGAATCATAGTGGAACAGATTGTGATTAGCTCCTATTTTATTGGGTGGGAGCCTTTGACAACATTGCTAGTCCCATCCAGTTTGAGGCCTGTGTCTCCTTATTCACTGGCCACAGTAAATACCACCTAGCCAGCAGCAGGAAATCAGTATCATGGATACAGGCAAGGCCAGTTTCACCGGTATACAAACTGTGCAGTCACACAGGGCCCCGTGTTCAGAAGGGCCCCACACTTAGTTTAATGCTTAGCTGTTGTCATCTTAAAATTAATTCGTAATTTTGTCCTTGAGCATGTGTTTTGTTAGTGAAGTCCAATGGGACAAAATATCATGCATATGAGCAGAGGAGACAGATGCAATATACATTTCCACCCCATGTCTTGTTACTCCATTTGGATTTGTGATGCCCATGAACATAGAATTCTAGTGGAACCATGAAAAGTGGGAGTTTAGCAAGACTCAAGGCAAGTTCAAGATAAGTGTGTTACATCTATTACTGGGTAAGCAGTAGGGGAGCTGACAGCCCTGAGAGGTCATACTTTCTGTTGGAACCAGAACTTGCTTCAGACATAGAAAAAAAATGGTTTCTAAGAAATACGAACAACCAAGATGCCCTACTGTATTCTTTCTTGCTTGTTACACCCCTGTGTTAGCCAACATTTCTGCTAAAAATAATGACATGGAAGGAAATGGGAAGATAAGGCAACCCATAGTTCTTTCAGTTAGAAAAGTGTTGGTAGAATGTACAAGTACCAAGAAGTGAAATATGAACAGTTGAGCGAGTTTGTGCAGTTCTGTATACTGCTGAGAACAAAATACATAAACTTGTATGAGCTACTAAACACAAATTGTATATTTTAGTGATTCTTTATATGAATTAAATGCTCTTATTATTTGCATTTAAAACTGGTGCTGTATTGTGTGCAGATAAATAGTAAAATTCATGCTAATTATCTAAAGTTTTATTTTTCTTTACTTAGAATTACATTAAAAAGCAAATAAAAACACCATGATGTCATTGCTTTATATTAACATTTTAGTATAAACATAAAGCGTTATATGTTAGTAGCTTTACTAGAACTTCCCCCTGCTTTTTTAATAAGGAGCACTACATTTTCATTTTGCACTGGATCCCCAAAATTATAGTTGGTTCTGGGTGCAGAAGCTAGCTGGGAAAAATACAAAAAGAAAGGGAAACAGAAAAAGGAAAGGAGAGAAAAGTATCCCCATTTGACACAAAAGGCCAAGTTATAAAAAGAGGAGAGGGCTTTGACTTCCACCCTAATGTTTGCTGACATGTCTTTACTTATTAGTCCATCTTTCCACACAAACGTTTCCTGGAGCCCACCCATTAATCCTTTTGACAAGATGCTATATATTACCGCGGGATGGTGTGCAAAGTAGAGCTTCTGTCCTTGAATCAGAAAATATCTAGGCTTCCACCTCTTCAAAGAGTTACAGTTCTTCAGCAGAGGTCCTTCCTTCAATATTTTCTGAAAGACAAAAGCATGGTGTTGAGCAATGAGATCAATTCATAAGGTCATACCACTTGTTCTCTCAGATGGAAAGAGCAGATATCTAGAAGGCTCTATCTTGTCACATATCTGAGAAATGGCCTGAAGGCCAGGTGAGAACACAGTGAAGCTAGTTCAATCAGAGGAGACATTGGTTGCCCTTGGATTACTCATTCAGGATGATATAGGCTTCACATTTATCAGGCTACATGGCCCAAAAACCATGGAGAACATCTCTATTTGCAGTAGAGGGTAGAGGGCAAGGACATGAACACATAAAGGTAAGAACAGCATTTCTAGGAAAGAATGTATGGTAGAGGAAAAAGCCTGTAAAGGCAGATTTTCTGGAAGTCTCCAGATTGTAGCTCTAGACAGGGCTTTTCTGTCAGCTTTTTTAGAGTGTTCCTTTTAGAATATTAAGTTGGATCATGTTCCTTCCTTGATCACAAGCCTCCAATAGCTTCTCAACACTTTTAGAGCCAAATCCAAAGTCCTTACCGTGGTTTGTCTTCAATGGACTCATGATCTCATGAAGGAGCAAGCACATAAAAAGGACACCACAAGAAAACTACCTTCTGATTACTTTCTTTACATCTCATAGTCTAACTACTGATTTTTCAGTTACCTGCTGAACAGACTGATCCCAACCAAGCATAGAGTCTACTTACCATTTTCATCATTGAAGAAGTTCTCACTAAGTTATAGGATACAAACCAACATGCAAGACTGCCATTTGGGACAAGTACTCAACTCCACCAAGCAGGAACCAAACACATACTTAATGGACAAAGGGCCAGACTGAGCTTAAAATCACCAAATCAAGGCTCTACCATGCATTTTATCTATCATTTAAATAACCATTCATCATTGCGTGGCTGGAGAAGTGTTTTGTTTGGCCTACTTAGTGTTTTTCAGAGTTTTAAATTAGTTGGTAATATTTAAAAAGTAGAAGATTTCATATAAAAATGCAGGTTTCCTGTTTTTTTTTTTAAATTAGAACATCTGGTAACATTGAATTTATATTCTCACATGACAATGATATGCAGAAACTGAGTAGCAGCTGCTCCCTTCAGATGGCGTGCCTGACAGCAGGAATTTGAGTTTAGTTCCCTGATCTAAACAATTATTTGCCATTCCTGTTCTCCCAAACACACACACACACACACACACACACACATACACACACACACACAGACACACACACACACACGTACACATGCTCATACATTTATACACTCTTCAATTCTCTAACCAATTGGATAGTACTAGTGGACAAAGCCTCTTTATCTCAACTGGAAAAAGTCATTTCTTAAGCAATCACAATTTATCTGAGCCTTCTTCATAACTTGTGGTAGTTTCATGGTTATTATAACACCTTTGCGATGCAAAAGAATGGTGCTGAGAAGTCAAAACAAAGAGAACAATAAGACCTTGTGGGAAGTAGGGAGATTACAGAGAGAGACTAAGAAATTATATTTAAATTGTTGAAATAGAGTCATCCAAGAGAAAACAACTTCTCGAAACATTAAGAATATATTGGGGCTGGGCACGGTGGCTCACACCTGTAATCCCAGCACTTTGGGAGGCCGAGGCGGGTGGATCACGAGGTCAAGACATCGAGACCATCCTGGTCCACGTGGTGAAACCCCATCTCTACTCAAAATACAAAAATCAGCTGGGCATGGTGGTGCGCACCTGTAGTCCCAGCTACTGGGGAGGCTGAGGCAGGAGAATTGCTTGAGCCCAGGAGGCGGAGGTTGCAGTGAGCTGAGATCATGCCATTGCACTCCAGTCTGGGTAATGAGAGTGAAACTCCGTCTCAAAAAAAAAAAAGAAAAAAAAAAAAAAAAAAGAATATATTGTTCTTTTCTGCTCTCTGGCCAAGTGGCCTAAAGTATATTTCTCACTAATGGCATTTGGATTTTTGTATCCCAACCCTCTTACCTCTATCCATATATTCCTCCACACTAAGTCTTCATAATACTTAGGCAGTCCTATTTACTCCTTTCTGCTAAAGACTTAAATTCCAAATTTTAACTGCTCCAAATCTGTACAACTGAATCTACACCCATTATCTCTGCCCTTTTCCCAATTTATTGTGCTCTGTCAAAATTATCAAATGAGTTCTTTACCTTTCTTATTTTGTCATATATAATGTTCCCTGTATCAGCTCATTTAACAGTTTTTGGTTGGCTACTTTTCCCTTCCTTCCATTTGCAGATTAAAGCTTTGCAGCTCAGACTGTAAGATATTTACACGAGTACATTCTCTTGGCCTGTTCTGAGAAGCATGTACCCTTAAAGAACCCATTTTTCAGGCACTGCAAGTCATAGGCTAGTAAACTAAAATTTCCCAACTTATAACTTGCGAATATGATACCCCAGGAGGACTCAGATTTTAGCTTAGGCATTTGATAAGCTCTTTAATGATATTACTATGAGCAAGAAGGAGAAATGATTATCTTTGTTCAAATTCCTGGTTTATTTGCCTGTAGACCACATCCCTTTCCTCAGCAAATCATCCTGCTTGGTTATTCAGAGACTGCTCCCAAAAAATCAGTACCCTCCTTCAACTCAGGAGACCCCAACTAAGCTCTACCATTCAGGGGACCCTTAGAGACAATAGAGCTATATAGGAATAAGTTTTCTATATCTCACTATAAATTAATAAAAATCTGAAATAGATTTTGATAAGTAAAGATGTGTATTATAAGCCCCAGAGCAACAACTAGAAAAATAACTTTTAAAAATTATTAATACATTATAAATCAACAATTAAATACCACTACACATGTATTAGAATAGCTAAAACCCAATACAGTGACAATACCAAATGCTGACAAGGATATGGAGCAACATGAATTCTCTTTCATTGCTAGCAGGAATGCAAAATGGTACAACTAGTTTGGAAGGCAGTTTGGTGGTTTCTTACAAAATCAAACATACTTCTACCAAATGATCTAGCAATTGAAATCTTTGCTATTTATCCAAATGCACTGAAAAGTTATGCCCACACAAAAACCTGCACATGAATGTTTACAGCAGTTTTATTCATAATTGCCAAAACTTGGAAGCAACCAAGATGTCCTTCAGTAGGTGAATGGGTAAACGGACTGTCGTACATCCAGACAATGGAATGTTATCCAGTAATAAAAATAAACGCAATATAAAACCACAGAAAAAAACATGGATGAATTTTAAATGCACATTGCTAAGTAAAAGAAGTCAATCTGAAAAGGTTACATACTATATCATTTCAACTACATAACATTCTGAAAAAGGCAAGACTATAGGGACAGTAAAAAAGCTCACTGGCTGCCAGAAGTTCAAGGGCAGTTGAGAAGAGATGAATAGGTCGAGCATTGGAGATTTTTAGGGCAGTGAAACTACTCTATATGATACTGTAATGGTGGCTACATGTCATTATACATTTGTCAAAACCCATAGAATGTACAACACCAAGAATGAACCTTGATGTAAATGATGGATTTTAGTAAATAATAAAAAATCAATATTGGCTCACCAATTGTAACAAATGCACTGCACGAATGCAAGATGTTAATAATAATAATAATAATAATAGTCTCAGGACCTTGTTCAGTTTAGTTTAGTAGCCCCAAGCAGGGGAAACTGGGAGTGGGAGGGTATGTATGGGTACATTTTTTACTTTCCACTCAATTTTTCTATAAACCTAAAACTGCTAAAAAATGGTCTATTAAATTTTTTAATAAGCAAGCAAAAATAGCCTGGGAATTCTGAAAAAGAAGAGTAATGAAGCGGGAACTACCTGCTATTTAGGTTTTAAAACCTAGTATAAAGCTGTAATAATGAAACAAATAATTCAAGGGGCTAAAATGTTAAAATTATTAAAGGAACATGAACATATACCCATGTGATGTGACAGGGGCATAAATATGTGGAATGTTCATTGAAAAAGAAAGCAAAAACTTTGTCTACAACCTGGCTCTTTGGAAGAAGAGTGGTTGTTTGAGTTCTTTAAGGGAAAAAGAGATGGCAGAAATGAAGTAATCTCTTTTTTAGCTGATACCCAAGGTCTGAGGGTATGGGAAGGGGAGAGTTTCAATGTGTGTATACCAGTGGAGATGAGGAGGATTTATTTCTGAAGTGGAGGATGACATTGTGAAGCTGCTTTCCAATAATAAATTATTATTATTATTATTATGAACGCATCTTGGATCAAGTCTGGAATGACTCTCGCAGATACTATGGCTTGTCAACACGAAGTTTATAATCCTTTGGCACCAGAACACGGTTGCTAGCTTGTGGGAACTGACTTTCTTTTGCCTATCAAGTTACTTTGTTTCTGTCAAAAGCCAAATTACCATCTGGAAACTGGAAACAGGAGGACACAGTCAACCATGACAAGAACAGAATGTCAAGGCTAGGGAGTAGGTAAGCTCTGTGGTTCTCAAATTGTTTAGCAAGATAAATCTCTTCGCCAAGTTAGAAAACCCAAGAAGGCATTGTTGGAAAGGACCAAATGAAGCAGTATTGCCTTGAATAAGACACAATGAAGTTGAAACCTAGTTTTTGTTAATTACGGTTACAATACCGTAATAAGAGTTCCTTAAGTTCTAAACAGAGGTTCTGTGTCATCAGCTCTGAACTTCTACAAATGCCCAAACCTGGATCTTGGAAAACGTAAAGTGCCTGTAGTCTTTGACCTCTGTTATCCTTCAGGGAAACTTCCCTACTAACCCAATTACTATTACTAAATAAACGACTGTTTATTTTGTAAAACCCCCCAAACCAATAGGCAGCCCCAGGAAGCCAGTTTGAACAGGCAGAAGCTAAAAATCACTCACTTCATTGCCACAAGTCGATAAAATATGTGCATGCAAAACAATCTTTACCTGCTTGGGACTACTAAACTGAACAAGTTCCTGAGGCAAAAAATGGAAGAAATAAGGAAACAAGCAAATGCATCCTATGAAGGGAGGCATTGAAGGGACAGTCATT